AAGTAAAAAAAAAAAAAAAACCAACAAAAACTATTTTTATATACATATAATAAATGATTAAAAACAAAACCATAAACTTAGTATATAAGTAAAGGCAAATTATAAATGAACACAAACTCAAACAAATTGTTGTGCGAAGGTTACGAAAGGTAAAGGAAAGCAAATTAGCAATTAATGTCAATACTTGTTGCATTACGATAAAGTTAAATTAGGAAAAAAAACAAAACAAAAACAAATTAAAGCAAAAACAAAAACAGGTCGCAAATTCAGCATTGTTATTGATTAACACTGAACGCTGGCGTCTCCTTAAACCGATGTGGGCGCTGCATTATAACAACTAATGATGTATAATTTATGCTAAATGAGAATTAAATACACACACACACACTCATATGAAAATTCAGTGCATTATATTTCTGTGTTTCATTCGTATAAAATGTGTGGAGAAAACAATGGAATTATTACTGGAACTTATTACTAAATGGAGACATATTCTAATAAATTTATATAATTCAGCGCTTGGATTCCAATTGTAGATTCTGTAAGGGTATTACCATATGGAATGGATACTTAAGCAGGTCCACGCACGAGGGCCGCTTCTTCGGATTCAGCTGTAGGCAGTTCTTGACCATCTGCATGGAATCGATAATGGGTTTAGTTCGACTTCTAAATTTACTTAATACAAGCTATATATACTCACATGCACCAGCATGAGCGGATAGTAAATTGGTAAGGCCGGATACTCGATGCTTGTGGCGGGACTGGCGATCGCGCTCATCTTTGCATTGATGTTCCTAATGTGACCGAATGGCGTCTTCTGGTACAGCAGCAGATACAAAATGCAGCCGAGCGACCAAACGTCCGATTTCGTGGATATCTTTATCTTGGGCTGATTGCTGCCGCGCATTGGACTCGATCCGCTGGAGATGTCCGTGAGTGCTTCCGGACTGATGTAGTTGAATGTGCCAGCCTGTGAAAACTTAATTATGCTCGTCGAGTCCACGGCAATGTTGCTGGCAATGCCAAAGTCTATGAGCTTCAGCCGGCCGTTGACCATGAGGAAGTTGGCAGGTTTCAAATCGGAGTGAATTACTCCATTCTGGTGTATATAGTTGACTGCCTGCAGCATTTGGTAGAGTATGTTCATCAGATTATAAAGCGGTAGGTTGGTTGTGAATCCCTGTAAGATCTTGTTCAAGTCACAGTCGCCCTTCTCCATAACCATATACAGTTTGGACTCTTGCCGCAACAGTTGACTGAGTGGAATGGAATGAATCAATGATGATTTAATGAATCTGAATCACTCATGTATAAGTACTTACTAGTCGTAGAGCGACACAACGCATACATTGCCCTGAAGCTTTTCGAGCAACTTGGTTTCATTGAGATAGCCCTGCACCACTACCGGATCAGCCTGTAGATCAACCACTTTAAGCGCGAATTCCTGGCCCGTATCCTTGCGTCGTGCTAAATAAACGGAGCTTGATCCGCCGCAGCCGAGCTTCCTAATTATGTGGTACACATGGTTTTTGATTTGGAGCACATTTGATTTTGATGCTGGTTCCGGCTTGTCAGGCAGCGTAGCAGCGGGTGCAGCCGGCACTGACAAGGGCACTTCAGGCTTCTCCTGCTCAGCATGACGAAACTCAGATTCGAGTGACTTTTTCGACCTGCCGGTGATAGGGGCTTCTACCTTTGGCGGTGGTTGAGCGGGCGTATCGGGACTCTCACTGATGGTGTCGCATAGGGAGAAGCTAAGGCTGTCGCTTGTAAAGGGCGCAGCCCGGCTCACCGTCATGGGCGTCTGGAAGAGCACCTTCTGTGAGCGAAACTCATTGGCCAGCTCAATGCGGGTCTTTTGTGTGGTTTGTGTGCGCGTGTTTTGCCTTGTGGCAAGACTGCAAACCTGCGGCGTTACGAATTCCGTTTCTGGTTTAGGTTGTTTCTTCAAAGACGGCGCTAGGGAAGTGCGCATCGGTGTTTTGGTAGACACAGCCTTGCGTTGCTCCGTAATTATTTGCAGTGTCGGGGGCGCTGGTTTCTTGGTTGGCATCTCCATTGGCTGTGGTTCCTGTTCCACTTGTGCAGGTGACGATTTGGCAGTGTTAGTGCTGGTGCTGCAATTGATGCCCATGTTCCCAAACCGACCAAGAAACGACAGATTCGAGTCACTCGCCCGCAGAGTACCCGGAGTTTTGGAAGGGATGCCCGTGTTGCTACTGGTCAGCTCGTGCATGGGACTTAGCACAAAGGAGTCGTTGAGAATGGCGCAGTTCAAATTATGATCGTTCTTATTGTCCTCATCATCACTGTCCGAGTCCATCATTGTCAACTCGGCTCGGCGTCTGGGACTGTAAGCGGAAATGATCTGAAATACAGACATTGCCTTCACCCTTAAATAGGGAAGTGTACTTACAACAAGACCTTAGCTGCAGGTGCTGCAGGCCTGTTTTCCTTGACCAGTTGATGACGTACTGCTCTGGGCTGGTCTTCATTCTCCTTGTTGCCATTGTCGCTACAATTATTTGATGGAATTTATCAATGCAACTAATCAGTTTCTGTAAACAACTTACATTGCTTCCACTTTTCTCTTATTCGCTTGACTCGCATCAGATTCATCTTCTGAATCCGTACCAAATGCTAACAAATCTCTAACATGGCGTGGGGCAGGTGTAGTCATTTGTAGCCCGTAGTTGTATTTAAGCAACTTTAAAAAAAATTTACAATTCAATTTGAATTTGTGCAACAACAAATCCCTCGCATTGTTTTATACTTTTCAGAGTTGTCATTGACTATATCGATATACCGAAGGCATTAAATTGTTCCTTCGATAAATATGTGGAGTCGATTTATATAAATTTTCAAATATATAAATTTGTGAGAAATTGAATTATTATAAATAAGATTTAAGAAAATATATTTTTACTTATATGAAGTATATATCATAAATAAAATAAAAGTTTTGTGACAAAATACATAAAATTAATTTGCGTCATCTAAGTTGTCATGATTTGAAAATCCAATTAGAAATAAAAATATCGATGGTTGCTGAATATCAAATGAAGACCCTGGATGTTGTCTGGCAACGCCGTGTGAGTGTCATTCACTGATGCACCGTCAACAAACAACAAACAAAGCAAATTTGCGTTAGGCGCTGCGCAGTTAACATCAATAAAACACAGAAGGCAAACAAAAAATGGACAATGAAGCAACAGGTGCAGCTATACAGCCCAGTGGACAGCATGGCCACAACCAGGACACAGAGGAACTGCTCGATCCTGTATTGTTCTCGGACAACAATGGTTCATTTAAGTTGAAAACTGTGCCCGCATTCAGGTGTGTACTATGTGCGACGCCGGCATATGTAGCTATGAATCACTCTCAAAAGGGGTGATGAGTCTGCTGATATGAGCAGAGCAACTCAATTATCATATACTAATGAGTTTTATTCATTCTATGGGTATTTATTTTCGCTAGCATACATTTGCTTATCTCGACAATAATTTCGTTTGTGGGCATTGGTCTCGCGGTGCTCTTTCCCGAGGATCGCCGTTGCGAGGCCTACTTTATAATGCTTTACCTACGCGCCACATTCTGGGTGATCACATTTGTAAGTGCAAAGTCCTCAATATCGAACGGCTTTTAACCAATTCTCTCATTGCTTACAGATTTTCGATCATATTGTTAAGAAACAGCATGACAACTTGCGCCTGAGTGGCTATCATGACTTCCACCGAGAGACGAACATGCAAAAAGGCATTCCACTGCAAATAGTGTCGCTGTGGAACTCAATGCTGTTGGCTGTACAGGCACTGATCCATCACTATTACGGCGATGAGTTTTATACGCATTGCGCAGCCGGCTGGCTTTCGCCCATAAGCTATGTAACTACTTTCAATGTGGCGGAGAACTTACTGCTTGCTGTCACCCATGGCTGCTATATAGGTTCGTGTTTCTTACAATTGTGTGTATCTATATGTTATATTCATGTTTTACAATCGTTCCGCAGATAAGGTGCGTAAATTCAACAAGGCCAAGCTGTCCCCAGATGTTTTACGTGGAGCTGATCGTGCCGGCGGCTCGTTGGGTCTCATGCAGCCCGGTGGTGATACAGCAGAGCTTCTTGAGAAACAAGCCGACCTTATTGCCTATTTGCGAGATCATACCCACAAGCTCAACCAGAAACTGCACCAAATGCAAACGAATGTGCGTCCAGTGCGAGTGCCACAAATTCCTTAAGATCCCGCATGACGAAAAATACGTATTCCTTATTAACCGCATCGAACATCAAACACATGCTTATGCAATACACACATATTTATATATATATATATACATATATATTTTCTTCATTATTATGACATGGTTTTCTATATAGTTATTTTGTAAGCGGGGAAGAAATATTCTTCATAATCAAAATGCTCGCTAACACAATACTACGGAGCCTTAACTTAAAACATATTCAATTGTAAATACAGAAAAGAAAACATAACTTGACAAATTATTTTAAAAAGTATTGTAAAAACTATAACGTTTTCAAAAATACAAATTATATTCAAATTGCTAATCCCTTATTCTAAAGTCGACTGGTCGTAGGCCAACAATTCTGGCGGTATTTGAAGTATCTCCAGGGCGTTGTCCTTTGACGAGGCGATGGCCTGGATGAAGGTAAAGAAAACGATAATGATAATTGCGGCATTTTCATTATGAATGCACAGTAAGTTTACCTTATCGCCAGCTAGGGCCAGAGCAAGCACCAAACGTCCAGGCCCAGGGAAGCGACCCAGTTGCAAGCCAGTTTCCTTGTTCAGCACATAGATGTAGCCATCGTAGCAGCCAATGAGCAAGTAATTCTCTTTATACAACGCCATGGTAACGGCACCATTGCCGCAAGTGAATGTGCTGGTCACCAAACCAGTCTAGAAATTAGAAATATAATAGATGAATTCACAAATAGAAGCTTAGCCTTTAGATATTACTCACGGCAAAGTCGAACTTGAACACCTCATTCTTCTGGGTGCCACAAAAGAGATGGCCATCAACCAGCAGCAGACTGTAAACATTGAGGCCGTCGGGCATGCCAAGACGTCGCAACAGCAAACCAGTTGCCGCATCGTGCAACAGCACAACATTTCCCTTGCAGCCCAATATAATTATATTGCGAGCGCCCTCTTTGGTGGCCTTAATGGCGATGACGGACTGGCCAGTTGCTAGCAGCGGCAGATCCATCACTTTATTAGCCTGCAATTGAGAAAAAAATAAAAATGGCAAATCAATCAGAATTGCTTAGTAATTAAAAAAAAAAGATAATATATAAAAAATTACAAATGTCCTGGAGATGCGGGGTATCGATCCCCGTACCTCTCACATGCTAAGCGAGCGCTCTACCATCTGAGCTACATCCCCGTTGTATCTCCTTGGCATTTATTGGCCCACAAAAGCGTCCACAACTGCGTTTCCATTTCTTACACCACAAAACTCAATTTGCTGCCCAATTGTGCTTTGCATAGTAATTTCTGTTTGTCATTCGAAATGTGCAATGCAATCGGATTACAACAACAAACAATTCGTTTTTATTTCTCTTTTAAATGCGTACGCCACACACATTTTATAAACATTTATAAATAGCTTTGTAGCTGTAAACTATTTATATATAGTACTTTTATGTCGTGCGATAGGTGAGCTGCTTTAATTATAATAAACAGTTGATAAGATAGCTGTTTCATTCAAATCTATTTTCGTACTACTTTTGGTCAATATTTGATATTTATTTGTATTGTTATAATCAAAGGCTCTAAAGGTTTCGTAGTTCGCTAATTGCAGGGAATTTACAAAACTGAATATAATTCTGACAATTTTTAAGGTGGCTTTTTTTAGGGTTTCCCTAAACTCTTATGCAGAGTAGTCCAGCAACCAAGAAAGGTGATAAAGCATTTGAGATTCGCCTGAAGACCCTAAATCTCAAATTGTTTCATTTGTTATTTATTTCTGTTTTGTATATTTATTAGTGTCTAACTCAGCCTATTCCATTAAAAAAAAAAAAAAAAAAAAAAAAAGTAGAATCGGTGAGGCGCACATTGGGATTCTTTGGAGTTCCTAGCACGCTTCAATTGAAATCAGTCGAAAAAAAAAAAAAAAAAAAAAATGTTAAGATTGATAATATGAGTGGTGCGCAATACAAGTTGATAACGATAAGAAACAGTTGTATTGTACTGTGAATGTTATCAATATTGAGAACAAAGACTCAACTCAACATCTATACTGATAAGACATGATATATCAAAACAGTCAGCAAACAATAAAATATGTGTAAGATCAATTGAGCAAATTTTGAAACATCAGCTCGTGGGACATGACAACATTGCTCGAAAAGAATATTAATTTATCTTTCAACTTCTTGTTTATTCATTTACTCTACAATTTGATATTGAAAATGCTTGAAATTCTTCACAAAAAATTGTCCGTTTGGGTTTTAAGCAAATAGACTACGTTTATACTTTAAACAAATATCAATAGTTTTAAAAAAGATTGCAAAATTGAATTTTCATCAAATGTAGCTAGAAATTTCGAGAAAATTCTGCAACCATTATTAATATGCGTACTAACCAAAGATAAATTAGCCACATCTACAGAAGCAGCTAGAAATTAAAATTGAAAGCAAACAAGGGGAGGTTCCTCGAGCTGCAACTATGATAAATGAGGTTAGTCCCTGTCTTCTGCGTACTTCACATTGCATAAACTCTAATCAAACATGCATACATACATATGTATGTATATCTGGAGGGACAATAAAATCAACAACATTTAAAACGAGTGCGAAAAGGAAAGACGCACTGCAGTTCTAGGCATACATATGTAAATGTATATATGTATATGTATATGTATATGTATATGTACATATGCGCCTCTCTATGTACGGTTACTTATTTGCAAGATGGCGTCTCACGTTCGCAACTCAACTAAAAAGTGCAAGAAATGGCAAAGCAGACAAACAAATACAGAAATGCTTTTTAAATTGCAGGAGGCGCACCCAAAATCGACGAAGTACCAGTCATTGGGTTGCTTTGTTTATTTAGTGGTTGCAAGTGTGCCCGCCACACCCACATTGGACGCATGGACGTATGCAATTTGCTGCTGCGTCGGATGCTGTTTCTATAAAAACAACAATAACAACACAAACGAATAACAGTTACTTCCATACAGCGTCGGGGCCTGGGCTGGAGCTGGCAAACAACCAACCCGATTCGTCAGACTCAACCAATGAGAAAACGGCGTTGCCACACACACACATAAACATACCGACAGGCGGCGTCATTTTCCAGAGACACAACACAACAAAACAGGAGCCAACCAGCAAGCCAACCACCCACCCACAACAACAAAATAACACCAACACCAACAGCAACACATACAGCACAGGGACCGAAGACATTCCAACTGCAGCGCCTTGGAAGGCCTTGCCTGCAATAAGCGAACGACAGAGAAAGCGAGAGCAGACAAATCGAGAGAGTGCCGGCAAGTAAGAGCGTGTGGGAGTGAGTGAGAGCGAGGGCTGATTGTGAGTACATAGTTTGTATTTTATTTAAAATTGTTTTCAGTAAATAGCATATAAACATTTTATTTGCTGCTGCCAAATTGGCGATGCCATTGCCAATGCCGACGTTGCGGCGCGTCGCTGCGACGCTGGATATAACGAATGAGTAAGTGCAAGAAATACAAAACTAGCCGAGCTAACGCATTGTGCAGCAACAAGAAACTGCAGCAGAAAGAGACATGCGCGTTACAGTGTGAGAGAAGAGTAACGAAGGCTTAACAGCTTCGTGCCGGCAGCATCGAGCATCGAGCACCGAGCACCGAGCGAAAGGTGAGAGTGTGAGAGAGCGCACGAGCGGGCAATGAACGCTGCAGTGTGTGCGAAAGTGTGAGTCAGCAAAATATACAGTAAACTAAACATGAACACATAAAAACTTAAATAAACAACAATAGGGAACGAGCGGGTGCGAGCGAGAGAGCGTCAACGAACGCCATTGAGAGAGAGGGATAGTTTTGAACGCAGCACCCATTCTCGCAGCTTGCGCTGCAGTTTGCTGTTGTTTGTTGCAACTAACCCCCAGCCTTTGCTATATACACATGCATATATAGCACTATGTATTAGGATTTTGGCCAAACAACGTGCAGCAAAACCAAACACTCACACACACATGCATGCAAAATAAAAACACACAACACCGACACAGCAAAATATCAAGCAATAGCAGCAAAGGAATATTGCAACAAGCAACGCCTTCTTGCATACATAGGAACTGGGTTGGGTCTATGGCCCAATATAACTGCACTGGGGCGTGGCTGTTGCCTAGGTAAAGCTAAATATTTAGTAAATAACTAAAGGCGTGCAGTGCCCAAGTACAGTTGCCTCCAAAATACAGTTGCCCCAGCAGTTGTTGCAGTGCATGCCGAGCAAAAAGTACCGAATCATAATTTTAGGCAACAGCCGCGTATTACCCGCACGTCGCAGCCATAAATCGAATGCTGCCAAAAAATTAAGACTTATCGCCATTTGCCCCCAACGTGGAGTTGTAATGAAGTGCCAGCTTTGCACCATCATCCGTGCCATCGCTCCATCGCACCATCGCACCACATCCAATTTGCGTATATCGCTGGTGGAATGCGAAAGAAAAAATAAATTCGATTTGATTTTCATTGTCTAGACATTGGGTTCATTCGATGGCTGCTTAATGCCAATTCGTTGTTTTCCTTGTTACTCTTGCGTCCGCCGTTGGGGCCACATTGAGGCGTCCACACCACTATATATCTGCAGAGGAGAGTGCGTGATGGCTGATGTAGCCCACCTAGACGCTCTTCACTTTTTAATTGAATACTTTCAAGTGTTGATTGGACAAGCTAAATATTTAATGAGCTACAAATTAATTGAATGCGACTCTCGGTAGATATTTCTAGAAGTGAAAATATTCGATATATGTATCATAGGCTCTACGAATCATACGGTATAAGCAGATCTAACTGTACGAGAATTTATGCTCTCAGCTATGGCAATGAATTACGCCTTGAGGTATGCAACATATTTTTTAGAATATTATCTGGTAAATTTATAGAAGAACTAACTCTTTTCCCAACAAATAACATATAGGTTGATTAATAATTATTTTCATCGACTTAGATAACAGACAATGTCAACATGAAATATAAATAAATTTATAAACTCTTGTTGATATGCTTTGATCATTTAGCATAAAGTCATATTACCCAACTTAAATATCTTAACTAAATATATTATTTACTTTAGAGACAGGGTCTGTATGAATAAAATAGTTAGGAGATATCCTGAGCTGATATTTCCATTTACATTATGCACAAATTTGACCTAACTTTTCCTTGTTCCTCTTTAAATAATATTACTATTTTAAATAATAAAATCAAATTATTCCCAACTAAAAAAAACATAAATAGTCTTGAAAACTTACCGCTATATTATAGGTAAAAATATTGCCCCAACGACTGCCGATAAACGCAACGCCCCACTCGATGTCGATAGATTGTAGGGGTTCCTTTAGATATACTGTCTGCATTACACGTTCCAGATTCTTTTTAAGAATAGACGGGTTATATAAATCAATTTTGCCTTGTTTGAGATTTACGTCTCGTTTAGCTACTCACCTCTAGAGAGGATTTCTTGAAGAAACCATCCAAAGAAGTGGTGTATAAGTAGGATTCCTTCTCGCATAGATACATATTCGTAATAGCTTCGCTGTGCTTGGTTATCTGAAATTCCAGCTTGTGAGTGCCAATGTTGAACAGGAAGATATCGCCATTTTCCGAGGCAGCTATGACGTACGCCTTGTAGACGCGAATTTGGGTAATGGGACAGTTGATGTTATGCAATCGTCCGGTCGATATATAGTCATAATTATAGCTCTCCAAGTTCGCTGCCATTTGAGACTCTGCACTGCACGGTGTCGGTGGTGGCGCAGTCGGCTTTAGCAGCATGCGCGGCAGATCATACTGTGACATGTTGGCGAATGGCTCCGGYGGCGGCGGTGGTGGTGGCAGCGGTGGTACCACTGCCATCGTTTGCTGTGCCAAGCTGGCTGAATCAGATCTGGTCAAATGCTGATACTGCGGGCTGTTGCCAATTACAGTTGGGTTTGAGTCAGTTGACGGCGGTGGCGTCTTTGGCGCCTCTATCGGCTCTTGCTTGATATTCAACTGCAGCGTTATGGGCTGGGGTATACTGGGTTTAGGCTCCGTCTCTGTCTCTTTGGATGCAACCTTCTTATCAGCTGCATGGCTCGGCGTGGGATCTGTTGATCTTTTGACTAGACGTCTACGTTTTACGATCTTGACACGTTTCACGACGACGGCGCGACGCTTTCGCTTACGAGGGCTGATTTCAGATTTAGCAGGAGCTGCTGCGGATGCTGCTACTTCAGTTGCTGGTGCTGGATTGGTAGTTGGCACTGCAGGTGGTGAGTTCGTGGGAGTTACGGTGGTTAGTGGCGGCATTGTCGTCGTTTGATTCCTTGAAATCACCGTGTTGAGCAGCAGGAACTTGCGATTCTGTAGCTCGAGGCTGAGCATCTCCAAATCGGATTTCTCGCGCTGAAACTTCATAATCATCTCCTCGAGAAACCCACGACGATTTTGATTCTCCAGCAGCCGCCGATCGATCTCAAGTAGACCGTGCGTCACGGAATCGCCCATCAGCATGATCGAGTCGTTGGGCGAGAAGCTGCCAGGCGATAGACGCGCCACAGTCGAGTCCAAGCCCATGTAGGGCAGACCCGTCGGCAATGTGTGCAGCGGACGTGCCACACTTGCAACGGTTGTTGGTGTGGGCGTGCCATTCCGCGGCGGAGTGGGCGGCATCACAGCTTGAGCTTGAGCGGATGCCGCGGCTGCCGGCCCAGCGGCTTCTCTTTGATGTGGCTCAGACGCGGGCTCAGCATTTTTGGCAGCGGCTGATGTGGCCATAAGCTCATTAGGCATCGCCCTCTCCAAATTTTGTTTGCGCCGCGCCATTGCGGTTTGCTTCTGCAGGTTGACAACATTCACGATTTCACGCAACAGGAACTCAATGGCCTCGCGATAGTCGTTTGATTTGATATTCTGCTGTATCTTGGCCACTTCCGCTTTGCTGAAGCTCTGCGAGTTGTGCTCACTGCTGGTCACCACGCAGGAGATGAAGTGCAGCCGACTTTGCAGGCTGGCACAGTGGCTGCTGCGATAGCGTTCCGCTAGCGACTCCTTCAGCTGCGGCAATATCAGTTTCTCGAAGCTGTCGACAATGTTGTTGGCATCGCTCTCCAGTTTCTGTTGATAGCGACGCTTGGTGGAGTCCGTGCTGCAGCTGGACGAGTTCGAGTGATCGCTCTCAGCGTCGCTTACGGCAGCAGCAGTGCGCTTTTTCTTCTTCTGCTGCGACTGTTGCTTAACAGTAATATGCTCCCCTTCGTCCTCATCCTCGGAGCTGACCACAACAATAATGCCGCAGCTCTTCGGCGTATTCTTTGATGGCGATTGAATTTCCTGTTTAATGGACAAAGGATTCACTGTCTCCACTGGTATCGACTCCTTCTGCGATTGCTGTGGCTGTTGCCCTTGTGCAGGAGCACTGCTCTCAGTCTCTTTTCTTTGCGGATTAGGTTTTTGTATACTGTCGGAAATCTTAGCGGACTTGCTCTGTAAACTGGAAGTTTTGGGCTTTTCACCTGCCTGTTTATTCCTACATTTTTTGGCTGCCATCATCTTGAATTGCTCGGCCACCTTCAGGCGCTCCATTAAGTCCGTGGCGCTTCCCATGGCCTGGCTCTCGGCTAGCTCTGTGCTCTGCTCCTGAGTTGGAGCGTTATCCTTATTAGTGACTTCGCTCGGCTTACCTGCCTGCTCGCACTCAATTGTTGAGCTGTTGCAGGGCTCCTTGTTGTCCTTTGATGCGTTAGTATCTAACGTTGTACCCACTGATATGTCTATTCCGAAACACTTTCCAATCTCTTGCAGCAAAAATGGTGGCAACTTGATGGACTCGACGATTTCGTCCTCGATCAAATCCTTGGTTAGCGTATCCTTTGGTTGTTCCAATTCAATTTCCTTCAGCTGCCGTCGTATCTCCTCGCGCAGACGTCGTCGCGCTTGCAACTTCAGATGCTCGTTGTATATCGTATCACTGTTGTTGATGATGTTCTTCAGGCTCTCCTTGTCCATATTGGCCAGACGCTCATTGAGACTATAGTCACCGCCGCCATTGTGATTGTTGTTGCTGACAGTTCGACGACGACTTTGGACCGTTGGCCGCTGGCCAGGTTTGACGGGGTTAACGCTGAGAGCACCTGCTGTGCCGGTGGCGGTTTCCAGTCGCTGCTCCTGAGTGACCGCAATTATTTCCTGCTTCAGCAGCTCAGCCAGCGGTCGCACTTGAGTCTTGGGATATGTATTGTTAGCTGTGCTCCCTGCTTCGCCTTGCCCTGGCTGCTTACTCTCTGTGGGTTTAGATGGCGCTGTATCTTGATGAGGTCCTAAGCTCTTCTTAGGCTCTGTATTACTTAATTTGCGTTCAACTGTTTTCACTAGATTCGTATTACTTCTGGCTGCATTTTGGCGCCTCACGGGACTGGGTAGATTGTTCCTAATCGGCCTTACTTTGAAGTGGCTGTTACTGATATTTAGTTTTTTGGGACATGGGTTTACCTGCTTCTCGCTATCCTTTAAGTCTTTTTCGTTTTCTTTAGTTTGTTCCCTCTTGCTGTTGGATTCTTCTCTTTTAGTTTCTGTAGATTTTAATTGTATTGTAATATTATTTTGCCCATTCTTTCTTTCGAAGCGCACTCGGGGTTTATTTTGGTTTTTGATTTGATCTAGCTGTTCGACAGATTTTGATATACGGCTATTATTTTGAGATTGTTCTTGAAATTTGCTCACAGTTTGTTCTTTTGCACTTTCAATTGGCTTTTCTGCAGTAGAGCCAGTAATTATATTATCTGACTTACTTATGCTCTCGCCACTTTGTTCATTCAATTGAATTTCTTTACTCTTCGAACAAATTTCTTCTTCTTCTGCGCCCGCTTGGGTCTGTGTTTCGTGTGATGGCTCTTGACTTTGAGATCTTTTACATGAAATGAAATTGCTATACCCGTTATTTGTGGGCTCCCATTTTCTGCCTGTGCTGTCCCCAGCAAATGTATTTGATCTATTCGTACTTGAGTTTCTATAATATCCGGCGTTTCCGCGATACGATGAGCCCCTCCGAAAATCTCGTCTTTCAGATGGYTGATTCCAATTGTTGTTGTTGTCTCCTAAATAATTTAGCGATGGATGCCAAAATTGCCTATCTTGCCTAAAATTACGACATAAACCACGAGAACTATTTCGCGGATAAAATTGGTTTGGGTTTTGGATGTATGGGTTCCACTGTGCAAAGAGAAAATTCCATGCGTATATAGAGCTGACTCTGGCTATTGAGCTTTATAATAATACTTACATTATTATTGTTGAAATGCTTAATATTGTTAAATGACTGCCTCCTGGAAGGAATACAAAAATACAAAATTAGTTATAACGCATATAATTACAATTAGAGTTAGCTCACGTTTATTACAAAAGCATAAACTACAGAAAACATACAAATAAAAAAAAAGTCAAGTTCTACAAACAATAAAGGAATAATTAATGTAATCAAGCGACGTGGCTCGGTTTCTCCGAAGTTTTTAGTCAACTTTGAGGCACGTAAGAATGAAAGAACTCTAAGCCATTAATTTAACAGATTTAGAATTTATAACCACACGCCCCCCTTTCTTAGCTTTAGGGCCGCAGCCCCCTATTTGTGTATGCAAAGGTGCGAATTCCTTTGGCATTTTCTTTTCCTTACATTTTTGTTGTTTTTTTTTCTACTTTCGGCATGTCCGCTTTTGTTTTGAGTTCGCTCGAAAATCTCGTTAAGAAATGCTAAAATATACGACCACAAATCTTGTGTAGCTGTTGCTTTTCTCTTAATGTAATTTGTAACTTCAACTAATTAAAAATTTAAATTGTCACAATGGGAATCCTAATGCAAAAGGATATCTGCTTAACTTTTCCCACAATAGATTCAGTGAAGAATATGGAGGTGAAAGCTTAAGATAAGTTGGATATGGAGAGAAGATTATTTATAACTAATCTACTACTACTATTTGTAAAGTAAATATTCAATTTTAAATGGATTTTGTATATTATTAAAAAAAAAAAAAGATAATATGTAGATACAATAATTAGCTAATGCATGTTTAAATCATTTAATGCTTTGTACTACAAATATTTAATAAATCATTTAATATTTGTACTAAAATATTAA